GTATGTGCGTTCTTTGATGATTGTGTTGATGAGGATGTGATGTGTTTTCTGACTTTTCTTTCCTTTCGCGACTTTCACCTTTTTTATTCTCCCCCTTTAAAAAGAGATAAACCCATTACAAGCACAAGAGAGCGCGCGCCCCTCCCCAATAAATTTGGCACATCGGCTCAATGGTCTAATATTATGATTCTCGCTTCAGGTGCGAGAGGTCCCGGGTTCAATTCCCGGTGTGTAGCTATAGCAAGGGAATTGTAGACTTGCCCGAGTCCTGGTTGGCAGGTTTTATCTCTTATATTCCATCGCGTGCGAGCAGGTGTGCGAGACCATTTCCGAGTGACAGATCTGGATGGAAATCTCATCACACTCCACCAGGACAACGCGGGAACAGATCTGGGCCTGACCAGGATGGTCCCAAACTGGATGATCATTTTCGAAATTCGGAGTGCATGTTGTCTGTCGTAGAATAAAGAACTGGCTACAGACAGATAATCTCCATGCCCGCAATACATAACCCCCCAGCCTACATGTTCTATCTAATACCATCTTGGTAAATACCTCGTGCACATCATCGGCACCCACGGGTCCGAAAGAAGAGTACCCAAGTTCTGCCTGCAGACACCAAAGTTTTCAAACCTATCTCACGAAACGATACATGTCTATAGTTCTCATGCCATCATATCTCCCCATCGCCGACACCCACAGCTTTCGCTCTTCTTCATTCTCCAAGATCCAATCTTCCTCGTCATCAAAGCACACGGTCTGGACAATCGTCCCTCCATATGCTTTGGCCATTGATTCGATGGTTGGGTGGACGGCGACTGTGTAAGTCGTAACTCGGTGATGCGCCTCGAATGAATCAAAGAAGTGCCCAACCGCCGCCAAAAAGAGAAGGTGTTCCCATTTGGTCAGATTTGGTGACGCGTAGACAGGGCCGAGGTAGTAAGATGACTCGAGTGCAGTTCCGTATGCGGTTGCGATTGAAAGGCGGGATTTCAACGTTCTGAAGAAAATGCGGACGAGTTTTGTGGCTGAGGATGGATCCACGGTACCGGTGGTGGTGATCGGATTCAAGTCGTGGTGCGCTTTCTCTATAGTCTTGTCCTCGCAAATGACATCTGCAACCCTTCTCAGCACAATCACTCCAGCCACCTTGCCCGAGTCTCTGAACCGCACACACCTTGCTGGGCGGAGCAGCCCAGGATCATCGAGTGGGTACTCATCTTCAAGAATCCTTATCCACTCCTTGGGCGGATCGCGAAACATTTGTAAATTCTGTTGTTGGAGAGGGATGCGATGTAATCTTTGAAGAGAGTGTCACGAGTCAGGGGGATGGTTTTGACTTTGTGTCGAGCGATCGTGAAGTAGAGGACGTTTAGGAAGGTTCGAATGAGCGAGACGAGACAGGATGCGATGTAATCCTTGAGGGGAGTGTTGCAGGTTGAGGGCCTAGGGACGACTTTGACTTTGCGTTGGGCACGTGGGGAGTACAGGGCGTTTAGAAATATTTGAAGGAGCCACAGGAGGCGCTGGGAAGGACGGTAAAAAGGGACAACGTAAGGTGAACGTTAACAACACATTGAGTTGGATTCGGACGTGTGAGTACTTCAAGAGAGAGAAGGCCTCTGCACATGATGGCGTTTTCAGAGTATTGGAGCACGTGTTGAAACATGTGTTGGAGGC